ATTATTGATAGGTATGAATTGATTACACCACTCATCTGTCAGTCTGTCATGCCATGGTGGCTTGCAGGGGGCTGTGATGCTGACAGCTATGCCACCAGTATTTTAAATACCACTGTGGACAGGTTGTAGTTAAGGTTTCAGACTAAGATAGATTTGGAAGAAGGAGAGACGGACTACTTCTAAATATTTAGTCACTGAAAACCTTATGAATAGCAGTGAACACGGTCAGCACCAGACTATTGAACACTGAAACACGATGAAGAGCACCAGAATACTGTCAGATGTAGTGCCGGAAGATGAGCCCCTCAGGTTGAAGGTACTCAATCATAATTGGGGAAGAGCTGCCTTCTCAAAGTAGAGCTGATCATGATGATGCAAATCAGTAAAGCTTTTGAGACCTTCATTTGCTGATGGTGCACAACTCAAAATGAGGAGAAACAGCTGTAAACATCCATTAATAATTTAAATATGGAATGTATGAAGTATGAATCTAGGAAAAGTGGAAGTTGTCCAAAATGAAACAGAATGCATAAACATGGCTATCATAGGCATTAGTGAACTGAAGTGGACTGGTATTGGCCATTTTCAATCTGACAGTCATATACATGGTTTACTATGCTGGCAATGACAAGTTGAATAAGAATGGCATCACATCATGATCAAAAAGAAAATGTCAAGGTCTATCTTGATGTACAATGCTGTCTAGGATGTAAATGGTTTCGGAATTATTACTAACTGATAAGTTGGAGACTCAGCTACACCCAGTAGTGCCTCAGATGAAAGGCCTAATGATGAACTTTAAAAACTCAGCCATTAAAGACTCTATGGGGCACAATTATATTCTTGTATACCAGGGTCACCATGAGTCAGAACTGACAACAGCAATTTTGTTATTGTTGTTTTACCACCCTCATTGTTAATGCTGTAATGTGATAGTATAATATCAATTCACCTACAAGGAAGATCAGTTAATCCAACTATTATTCAAATTTATGTACCAATCACTAAAGTCAGTGATGGAGAAATTGAAGAATGCTACCAACTTCTTAAAACTGATCAAACATGCAATTAAGATGTATTGATAATTATTGGTGATTGGAATGCAAAGGTTGGAAACAAAGAGGAAGGATCAGTAGTTGGAATTATGGTTTAGGTGATAGAAAAGATGCTGGGGATTTCTTGATAGATTTTTGCAAGACCAATAACTTTTTCATTGCAATTACCTTCTTTCAATAGCATAAAAGACAAGATATACATGGATTTCAATGAATGGGAGAGACAGAAATCAAATTGACTACATATGGTGTGGTACTGTGGGTTAATATGCCAGACTGCAAAGCCATTTGAACTGTAAGGTTGGCGGTTCAAGCTCACCAGCTGTTCCTCAGAAAGCCTATACAGGGTCACTATGGGTTGGAACCAACTCAATGGCACTTCACAACAACAACAAAGGCACTTCAAATTCTTCCATTTAAAATGATGATGCTTGGATTTGTATTGTAAAAGATTAGGTGAATTGCCCAAGATAGCAGGGTAATTGGAAGGGCTGTGGTTAACTCAAACCCTCCTCACCTCTGATTTGGTGTTATTTTTACTGCTGGTTGACTGTGTACTCCCAATTCTTTCTTTCTTTTCCTGTATAAACTTTAACTCTCCTCTAAGAATGAGTCCCAGTGTGGCATCTAGGATAAGCACTTGACCTCTAGGTCAGTTTGAACTGCAAGGTGGTTCAAACTCACCTCCTCAGAAATCCTATATAGGATCACTATGAGTTGGAACCAGAACCACCTCAATGGCACATAAACAACAGCACAATAATTATGAAAATAGCTGTTGATCGTCCAAACCATAGGCTCTGAGGATCAGACTTTAGCTACCTAGTAGACATAGCAAACTGTCCCTCATCTGATTATTCAGTAATGCTTGTTAGTAATCTCATACATGAGCCCTGGATGTCCACAGACAAATGTAAAAACCTTCCCTAAAAGCCAAGACTGCACACATCAAAAAAAAAAAGCTAAAGAGGATAGAGAGAAACACTGTTAACTGATGATATATGGAGGGGATAATGATCAGTGTGGTGAGACAAGCTATGTGAATGGTTGAGTGTGAGGCTGATGATGTGCCCTGTAAACTTTCACTCAATCCTAAATAAAAACATTAAAAAAATATATATATGAAAATAGCAATAGTAGTTGAGTCCTTACCATTTGAAGGGAGGAAACATCAAAGAGTTCAGGGAAAAAGTGCATTTAAAAGATAATGGAATTCTTCTAGGAACTTTCTGAAGCTCCTTCATACGCATTATCTCATGAGATTCCTTAAGCAATCTAGCTAGGAAGATGTGAAGATGTCTTCATCTTACATTTGAATGACTTGACCAAGATCACACGACAAATAAGTTCTGGGTCTAGAATTCTAACAGTTTGATTTCTGACTTCTAGTAAAGAAAGTCAGATAAATAAACAAAATCAACTCCCCACCTAGTCTTACTGTTGAAGACCATTGAGGAGTGTGGATTCATTTAAATGTTAGCTCTGTGATGCATGTAGGAGATATGAGCAATGGGAATGGAGAATGTCTGGCTATCTAGAAGAATGAGACCTATGGAAAGAACAATTCTTTCACTCACTTACTTATTACACAAATGCTTACTGAATGTCTACTATCTGCCAGACACTTTTGTTAGCAGTAGAGATACTTAGATAAAAAGATATAGCTCTGATCCCCAAGAAGTGTATTGTCTATGAGATGCACTGTAATTAATGCTATCATGGGTGTCCACTCAAGACTCTATGGTAGAAGAACAAAATATGTATCTAAATCTATTTCAATAAGTAAAGAAAGTCTGCAATTGAAGAAAATTTTGAACTTGGTTTGTGAAAAGCATGAATTGAGCATGAGATAACTAAAATGGGTTCTATCCTCATTACAGCATTAACAATGAGGGTGGTAAAACAACAATAACAAAATTGCTGTTGTCAGTTCTGACTCATGGTGACCCTGGTATACAAGAATATAATTGTGCCCCATAGAGTCTTTAATGGCTGAGTTTTTAAAGTTCATCATTAGGCCTTTCATCTGAGGCACTACTGGGTGTAGCTGAGTCTCCAACTTATCAGTTAGTAATAATTCCAAAACCATTTACATCACCCAGAAACTCCTCTATGATGGTGGGTGTGTGGGAATGAAACTAACTAGGAATATGGTGCCAGGTCAAGAAAGCCCTTCTATGCCAACCTATATAGTTTAGATTTATCCTGTAGATGATGGGAAAATATTATATATTACATGCAGTATTTTATCTTTCTCTTGGGGGAATAGAGTTCTTAGGATAGGTGATAAGATGTATAATGATAAAGTACTTGTTCTCAAAAAGTTGATTGAGAAAATCATATTGGTGTCATAAATTAACTAATTTTTCTATAGCATTTGAAAGTCTTTTACTATGCTAAGAACTCATCTCTCCCAAAGGAAAGATAAAATATTGCATCTAATATACAATAATTTCCCATCATCTACAGGATAAATCTAAACTATATAGGTTGGTATAGAAGGACTTTGACAAAAAAATAATAAAGATTGAAAAAGCAAAACAAAACTAAAACAGAAATAAAAATTGATATTTAAACTCAATTCCATGCCTTTTCACATGCAGCTTTCCTAGCTTTGAATGTCTGATTGTCTCACTGAAAAAATATCTACTTCAACTTGAAGTTCTCTCCCCTGTGAACACTCCATGTGTGATTACTATGTCAGGCATTGTGCTGAATACATCAAAAATATCATCTTAGAAGATTTGTACTGCGAATTAGAAAGTGACTTACCCAACATCATCCAGCTAATAGGCGATGGAACCAGAATTAACCAAGCACGTTTGACTCTTAATCAGGAAGGGCAAAGGTAGATGAACAAAATTCATCCATATCACTACCACCTATAAGTAGAAATGTCCTATAGGGTTTCCAAGGCTGTAAATCATTGCTGAAGCAGACTGCCTCATCTTTCTCCCATAGAGCTGTTGGTGGGTTTGACCATCAACCTTTTAGTTCAGAGCTTAAGGCTTAACCCAAATGTGCCATCAGGGCTCCTTGAACTTAAATTAGAGTTCTTCATCCGAGACTTAACTTTCCCTCATCGATGTGAATATATCCCTACGTATTTTGTTGTTGTTAAGTACCTTCGAGTCAGTTCTGACTTATAGCCACCCTGTATAGGGTTTTCAAGGAACGCTTGGTGAATTTGAACCGCCAATCTTGCACTTCATTGTGGTCCAGTGCCCCCATCGAGCCACACCAGGACTTCTCCCTATGTATGAGGGAGTTTCAAACAGTTTCTGGACAAATTCCATTATCTTTTAGTTCCATTTTTATATAAACTTTTTGAATACCAATTGCTCCCCTTTATCGGGAACATGGGAGCTCTGTAGGATAAGCAATAGAATGGGAACTACAAGGTTGGCAATTCAATCCCACCAGCAGCTCGGTGGATGAAAGATGAGGTTTACAGTTTCCGCAAAAATGTAAACTCTCAGAAACCCTATACAGGGTCGCTATGAATTGGAACTGACTCCAAGGCACTTAACACCAACAATACTCATCTAATTAAATATGAATTGTAATACCATGAATTATTCATTACTGTATTCCAGTCTCAATGCCTTATACATAATAGCTGTTGAATAAATGTTAAATTAATAAGTGCATGTCTTCTTTTCAATGCTTACTACTGACAAACCTCAGTTTGTTGTAGCGTTTAGGTGGGCGCCTTGGTAATCTTTGTTTTGTAAATTTTTTCTGGAAGTGTCAGTAAAGGAAGTAAAAAAAAAAAAAAAAATCTATGTCTTGTCCCATCCAATTGCCTTGGAGGAGCTGGGAAGAGAGCAATTCACACTTGATTATCTTAAATCAGATAAATTAGCAGCACCAGAATTGCTGGCCTGTCTGGCGCCAAGAGTTCTTCGGACCCTCAACAGTCAGCTCTGTATCACCTCCGAGACCATGCTTCCTTCCCTTCCAGTTTTGGTTCTTGGCATTCTGCTAACCCGGGCCTTGGGCCAGCCGTCCCAATTTCAAGAACACGACCATCTTCAGTCTCTGGGTTTAGACATGGCTCCTTCACCCCGGAAGTTCCAATCTTTGCCTTATATCTTGAGGAAAGTCTTCCAGGATCGAGAAGCAGCAGAAACTGCTGGGGTTTCCCAAGACTTATGCTACGTAAAGGAGCTGGGTGTCCGTGGGAATGTACTCCGACTCATCCCAGATCAAGGTAAGCACATTGAAGTGTCCTCCCACCCACCCCAAAATCTCAAAGTGGGCAGTGTAAAGAAAGGAAACGAGACGAGAAGTAACAATCACTGAGTGGCTTGTAGAAGGCCAGTGTAATGGATGTTTGCGTATTTTCTCTCTTAACCCCAGTCACAATCCTGGAATCATGATAGGTATTTTTTGCCAACTTTTTAGCAATAAGGAAATTAAGGCTCATGTCATAAGGTCATCTACAATGTATCGAGATCATACTAGTGCGTGAATAGTCAGGTTTCTATAAGGTTTTTCTGAATCAACTACTTTGTGCTGCGGTGGAATGGTGGAATAGTCTTAAACCGACCATCTACTCATACACTTCCTGGTGCTTGTGGAACCGAGAGATGTCGGTTCCTACTCATCGCGACTTTTTGCACAATTGAATCGAGCGCTGCCCAAGTCCTGCACCATCACAATCATTGTTACACTTGAAGCCATATAGCGCCTGTCCCGGTGCCAAACCATCTCATTGGGCGGTCTCCCTCTTTTTTGCTGACCCTACTCTTTAGCAAGCATAATGTCCTTCTCCAGGAACTGGTCTACCTGATAATATGTGCTAAGTGTGAGAGACGACATGTCCTTATGATTGCTTCTAATTCAAACTCTAGATCCTTACAGAAGTATAATGCACTGCCAGGAGAGTAAGTTTTTGGGCTCAATTTGCCAAAGAATACTTCTTTCCTTCTCCACATCCCTTTTGTGGGGTTCTCCAAACTGCCCACCCATCAAAATTGTTTCTCTAGCCTAGTTCCTGTTCCTACTCTACCAACCAATTCTTATTCATAGTCTGAAAAGGCAGTAAAGAATTTGCATTTCTATGCAGCCTTCCAGCTGTTTCAGATGCAGAATTGAGAGTCTTGCAACTGGAGAAAAGATTTGAATACAAGTTCTTATCCAAGAAGCATTTATTGGATACTTACTGGAACTTACATATCTAGAACTGTGTAAGACTTTGAGAATACAGAGACTAAATATAAAATTGGCTGGCCCTTTAAGAGTTTACTTCGGAGGACTTCCTTACATTGTTCTATAATACAGGCTCACAGCCTTGTAAGGGAGATGTGATGGTGGGTGGTCAAATAAAGTTCTTGGAGGGAGGTTAAGAAATAAGGGGAGTGGAAGGGATTCTCATGGAGCGAGAACTGAGCTGAGGATAAAGTTTAGAGAATGCACCCTCAACCTGGAAATAATTTTTATTTTTGTGAAAGTCATAGTCTACCAAATGATCAGGAATAGGACCAAAATCTCATATTTCTCCATTCAAATCCTTTCCCTAGAAAAAACAGTAATGATTGCTGTGCATTTTTCCAGACTTTGTGTATGTGTATAACATAAATTTGTTATATTTTTTCAAAAATGAGGTCATATCATACTTCGCTCCTTTCCACCCTTCAGATCATGGACATCTCTCATGCATCAGACCAAAAAGTCTATTTATCCTCATGTCAGTGTTTGCAATGGCATCCCCTTGTTTAGATGAACTGCAATCTGTGTAACTAACTGATACTTTATTGATAGGCATGGACTTAATGTAATTAGTACAGTTTTACATCCATTTGTGTGTGTATGCATTTTTTTTTTTTTCTATCATTTCCTTGGGATAAAGTCTAGAAGAGGATTGCTAGCCACATTTAAACTTTTGATAAAGTAGTAAATTCCCTTTAAAACAGACAGTTTATACCCCACTATGAGTGAGTGCAAGCAGCTCTAGTAGCGTAGTGGTTACGAATCAGGCTGCTAACCTCAAGGTCGGCAGTTCGAAACTACTACCAGCGGTTCCGCGCGAGAAAGATGAAGCTTTCTGCTCCCATAAAGATTTACAGCCTCAGAAACCCTGTGCAGGGTCATTATGAGTCGGACTCCACCCACAGTACTTATCAACAACAACAACAATGAGTGAGTGCACAGGAGTCCTGGTGTGGCATTGCAGGATAATTCCCACTGACCTAGAGGTCAGATTGAACTACAAGGTCCATGGTTCAAACTCACCAGCTGCCCCTCAATGGCACTTAACTTGAGAGCATTTAACAACAACATGAGTGCTTGGGATCCCAGGTGGCATAGTGGGTTGCATGCTACCACACATTGGGCGATTAATGTGTGGTTGGCAGTTCAAATCCACCAGCAGCTCCATGGGAGAAAGATGAGGCTTTCTGCTCCTGTGGAGATTTACAGCCTTGGAACCATTCAGTGGCATACAACAATAGTCTTACTTCTTCACAATTTTGATAGCAATCTTTTAAAAAATAGGTACTTATTGAAATATAACATACATCAGAAATGTGTATAAATGAGAGAACAACCTGAGTTTTCATAGAATAACTAGTACTCAGATCAGGAAACAGAACATGACCAGCACTGCTGGAGAACCCTCTTGCTTCCTTCTAGTTGGTCACTACACGGGTGATGACTATCCTGACACATACCACTCTATGCTAGTTTCACCCATTTTTGAACTTCATATAAATGTAACTGAATGCATCGTTTTTTGTGTCTGGCTTCTTTCACACAATATTGTACGTGAGAGGTTTATGCATGTTGTGAATATTTGTAGTTCATTCCTTTATATTATTCTATTCTGGTGGTGGTGATATGCCGTGGAGTAGCTTCCAACTCATAGTGACTCTGTGTAGGGTTTCTGGGGCTGTAAATCTTTATGGGAGTAGAAAGCCTCCTCTTTCTCCTGTGGAAGGGCTGGTAGTTTCGAACTGCTGACCTGGAGGTTAGCAGCCCAACTCATTATCCACTACACTACCAGAGCTCCTCTTCTATTCTGTTATAGTCCAATTTATTTATGAATGCCACTCTTTTTTCTTTTCAGAGAAGATTATCAGTTTTACATTCAACAAATTTTTACATTTTGTTTCCATGCAACACAGTTCTCCAGCTTCCTCCCTGTGGTTCTTATTTCCATTCCACCCTTCCTCCCATCCCCTCTCAACTTTGTCCTTAGGTAAATGTGGCCATTTTGATTTGGAATGATTGACCATTCCATGCTGAGCAGACCTTACTACTGTCGTGTCCTCCTGTACACCTATTGGCTGAAAATTGGGCCACAAACTTTAAAAAGTCCCAGATCTGAAGGGTTGTCAAAGGCCATAGTCTCTTTCTGACCAGTAATGTTCATGCTACACTTGAGGTCATTTGGATAACAAAATACTTTCAAGTTTTAATTTTTGCCAATCTGGTAGCAAAAATGATCTTATTGTAGCGAAAACGTTGTTAGGTACTGTCTACTCAGTTCCAACTCATAGTGGCCCTGTGCAAAACAAAACACTATCTGGTCCTGTGCCATCTCTCTATCATTCCTACGCTTGAATTGTCCTTGTAGCCCCCGTCTCAATCCATTTCATTAAGGGTCTTCCTCTTCTTCACTGACCCTCCACTTTACTAAGCGTGATGTCCTTCTCCAGATACTGGACCTTCCTGATAATATGCTCAAAGTATGATTTGTTGTCAGGTGCTGTCTACTCAGTTCTGACTCATAGTGCCCTATACACAATAGAATGAAACTGGTCCTGCACCTCCTCACTATCATTTTTATGTCTGAGCCCATTGCTGCTGCCACTGGGCCAATCCATTTAGTTAGGAGTCTTCCTTTTTTTCACTGACTCTCCACTTTACCAAGCATAATGTTCTTCAGTGACTGGTTCCTCCTGATAATATGTCCAAATTATGAGAGACAAAGTTTCACCATCTTTGCTTCTAAGGAGCATTCTTACTATACCTTTTTCCAACACAGATTTGTTTGTTCTTCTGGAAGTCCATGATACTTTTAATATTATTCTCTAACACCATGACTCAAATGCATCAATTCTTCTATGGTTTTCCTTATTCACCATCCAAGTTTCACATGCACATGAGGCTATTGAAAATACTATGGCTTGGGCCAGGTGTACTTTAGTCCTCAAACTGACATCTTTGTTCTTGAACACTTTAAAGATATCTTGTGCAACACACCTAATATGTCATTTGGTTTCTTGAATGCTGCTTCTGTTAGTCCTATACAGGGTGACTATGAGTCAGAACCTACTCAACAACACTCAACAGCTTCCGTGAGTGGATCCAATAATATCTTTTCTCTGTTTAATCATATTATTATATTTATTGGTCCAGTGTTGAAGATTTTTACTTTACAGTGAGTTGCAACCTATATCAAAGTCTGTGGTCTTTGATCTTCATTAGTAAGCATTTTAAGTCCTCTTTGCTTTCAGCAAACAAGATTATATCATTTGCTTACTACAGGTTGTTTATGAGTCTGCCTCCAATCTTGATGCTGAATTCTTCATATAATCCAGCTTCTCAAGTTCTTTGCGCATCATACAAACTGATTAAGTATTGTGAACAAATACAATCCTGATGTACAACTTTCCTGATTTTAAACCATTCAGTGCCCCCTTGTTATGTTCAAATGACAGCTTCGTGGTCTATGTACAGGTTCCTTATGAGCACAATTAAGTGTTCTGGAATACACATTCTTTGCAATGTTGTAGATAGCTTGTCATGATCCACACAGTCGAAAACCTTTGCACAGTCAATAAAACACAGATAAACATCTTTCTGGTATTCCCTGCTTTCAGTCAAGATCTACCTGATATCAGCAACAATATCCCTCTTTCCACATCCTCATTTGAATCTTGCTTGAATTTCTAGCAGTTTCCCTATCAATGTACTGTTGTTTTGAATTATCTTTTGCAAAATTTTATTTGCATTTGATATTAATGACATTGTGTGACCAAAGTATGATATCATTGTTTTAATTTGCATTTTTTACAGTGAGGTGACATGCATTTTTAAATGAATAATGAGCCATATTTATATAAATAATTGCCTTTTCATACATTCTAATTATTTTTCTTCTGAGTCATCATCCTTTTCTTAATGATTTGTTAAAGCTTCATAGCAATTATTTGGAAGAGCTCTTTATAATTCATCTTGCATAAGAAAAATTCTTAGTTCTTTGTGTTTGAATTTTGTTAATGGTATCTTCAGAATACAGAGATTTTAATTTCATGCTGTCAAATCTGTCAATCTTTTATCATCTGGCTTTTGGATTTTCTTTCATGCCTCGCTGTGGTTGCTGGTGCTTTTGGGTGAGATTGACTTGGTTCCAACTCATAGAGAATACAACAGAACAAAACACCACCCCGTCCTACACCTCACAATTGTTAAGCTGAGCCCATGGCTGCTGCCATTGTGTCAAGCCATCTCATTGGGGTCTTTCTCTTTTTTTCATGTGAGTTAGTGATACATCTAAAGAGGAAAACCAATAGATTATAATTAGAAGCTGCATATAGTGAAATACTGTTTCAGAGAACTTGAAGAAGAATGAAATAAAAGAGTTGGAAAATAACAGAGCGGTATCTGATAAGTGAATTACTAACTGCAAGGTCAGCAGTTAGAATCTGCCAGAAGCTCCTTTGGGGTCTTTCTGCTCCTGTGCCTCAGAAACTCTGAGGTATATAGGGTAGCTATGAGTCAGAACCAACTCTACACACCATACTTCACCACCACCATCATATGATAGTGGAGTGTCCTGGTGTGACGCTGTAGAATAATCACTGGACTGCTAATCACAAACAAGGTTCACCATTAAAAACTACCAACCATTCTTTGGAAACCTTATACAGGGTCTCTATAAGTCAGAACTGACTCAATGGCACTTAACAATAATATGAGAAATCGAAAAGATAAGAAAATATAGGCTTATCGGTACAGAAAAGATAATGTAGTAGGCTTGAAGAAGAAACTGGTGATTTCAAAGACTTTAAATATGTTGGTTGCTTTTTTTTTTTTTTTTTTTAAGGGAAACAGTTTTATTGAGAATTGGTGAAAGTTGCATTTAATAAAAATATTGAATACCTAGGAATTACGTCCTTCTAGTCAGCTCTGAGTCACATCAACTCTATGCAAAACAGAACAAAAGACATTTCATTACCAGTCCTGCAACAACCTCAAACTTGTTATGTTTGAGACAATCGTTGCAGCCAGTGTGTCAATCCAAATTTATTGGGGTTCCTATTTTTGGTTCACACTCCATTTTACCAATCATAATGTCCTTTTCCAATAACTGGTCCCTCCCAATAACATGTCCAGATTACATGAGACAAAGTCTCCTTTGTGCAGCTTTCTGGCTGTAACTCTTCCAAAACAGATTTGTGTGTTCTTCTAGCAATACATGGTACTTTCAATATTCTTGTTGTTAAGTGCTATCCAGTTGTTTCTAATGCATAGTGACCCTGTATAGGGTTAGCTAACACCATAATTCAAATGCATCAACTCTCCCTTCTTTCTTATTCATTGTCCAGCTTTCACATGGATATGAGGTGACTGAAAATAGGATGGCTTGGGTCAGGTGCACCTTAGTCCTCATACTGACATCTTTGCTCTTCTTTATAGGGTAGAAAAGAGACTTCATCTGTAAATATATACAGGCTTTTTATTAAATCTTATGAGTAAGACAAAGACAAACATAGATCACTTTAGTGAGGGAAATCATAGACACCATGATAAGTTTCCAAAGTTCTGTGTCCATGTGGTGATATTTACACTGAGAATAAAGGAATCTCCTCCCCCAACAATGACTGAAGGCAGAGGCCATGCTTGGCCTACTGAAAGCAGGGAAAGGACTATTGCAGGTAGGAACGCTTACAGTCTCTGAGGCTCTTGGGGTATGACATCACAACCAGGCAACCATTAAGAGTATGTCCAGGAATGTTGCTATGAGGGTTGGCTGGGGGATGTGACTCCCAAACCTACTTTTTTTTTTTAATGTTTTATTGTGAATTATGTGATTGTTTGCATGGGAGAACATTAGCTTTACATGCATCCTATCATATATGGTTTCATTGCCGTGCTTACTATCCCCTCCATGCATCGTCAACCAACCAAAGGGTATCCAAAGGGTATACCCGCAAGCCTGCCCCCCCCCGCCCCCCCCAGGTCCTCAGCACATAGCCCTCTCCCCCTTTGGATTTAAGAGTCCCCAGCCACTCCATCTCTCTACGTAATTGTCTTTGCCTCCATCTCTGGCGTCACTGCTTCTCTGGATAGGGTCCCGCACTCTGCTTTTCTCCCTTGATGGTCCCAGGAACTTCTGCTTCTGGACTGCAAAGTCAACTATTCCCTTCCTTTTGCTACAAAATGTCTACCTTTACATTTCCAACCCTCATAGTCAGTCCTGATAGCAGTTATTCACTATTGTACCACAGGAGTCCTATCCCCATCTCCTTTCATCAGCCCTGCCCAGACAGATTGGCTACTACTCAGTGGAGATTCTACCTTCCTCCATGCCCTCTAAATCTAGGCTCCCTCTTGAAAGCTTGTAAGCCAGTCACTTCTTACCTTTGTAGCCTCCCCCCCCCACCCCCATTTTGGGTAGCCAATGTCCAAGTTGCCCATCCCTGTCTACCCTGTGTACCAAGGGAGTGGAAATGATCCTTGCTGTAAAGATTTGTTCCCTCTTTTGAGCTACTTCAGTATAGTGGTTACGAATCAGGCTGCTATCCTAACAGTAAGCAGTTCGAAACTGCCAGCTATTCCATAGGAGAAAGATGAGGCTTTCTGCTCCCATAAAGATTTACAGCCTCAGAAACCCTGTACAGGTCTCTATGAGTTGGAATTGACTCCACGGCACATAACAACAACAACATCCATAGGTGTAGGTCAAGTTTATCAAATTGTATCAGATTACTCTTTTTTTCCTCTTCTTTCTTTTTCTAGTTGAGTTCTGATCATCCAGCCATTGAAGCCAGGTCAAGTGGGTATTATCTGCAAGTGTGGATATTCTTGTGCATATGCCCTCTCTTCTTATCAGCTGGATGCTTCACTCTCCACTCTAGTCCTCTGTGGCTATGTCACTGACTCTGGGCCCCAGAGTCCCAGGTCTTGTCATACTGCTGGCCAACCAGTTCTCCACCTGGGTTCATAGGAGTCTACTGAACGTGGTAGGATTTAACACGCAGCTTCATTGCTGTTTTTCCCACACTTCCCCTTATCGGTGACAAACATGGTCACCAATCAGAGCGTGTATTCCCATTGAGCCTTAGTCTTGGAAGGGGGTTTGCCCTGAGGCGAGCAACTTGCTTATCCTTGTAGTAATCAGTCAGAGTGCCGTTATTGTTTATTATTTTTCCTGCCGGTCTTTCTTTCAAGAAGCATCTTCTGTTCTTCTAGCCGCTGCAGGCTGGTCTGCTTGTCCTTTCAAGTGGAAATTTCCCACCTCAGAAGATTCTGGATGGGGTTCAAGATTCCACCTATGGTCTTATGCAATGCCAAGGCTCTACAGGAAGCCTCCTTCACTGGGCAAGTTGTATCTCCATTTTAGGTATTCCAATCAGTTATAGGCAGAAGATGGACTGACAAGCTTTCTATGGTGATATTTCTGGCTATTCCTTTCTCTCCCCCTCAAGTGCCTATTTTATAATTATTGGTTGCTTTTAAAATAAACCTTGAAAAGGCATTGTGGGAGTTGGCTAGAATGCCTTGATGTAGGTTCTGATTTCTCCACTAGCCTTGAAAAAGCCCTACTTAGGGTTGAACTAGCCAACCAGACAGAATGGTAGTATTAGGCCAAAGAAGTTATATGTAGAGAGGGAGATATTGAAGATGCAAAAAAAGTAAAACTTTATTCTACTGGACATGAAAATGCAGGCAGAGAAATTAGCTTCGAAAATAGAGAAAGCACCAGTTACAACTTCAAAGGATGCAGAGAAGAAGGTCCATGTGAAGAAATTAAAACCTCATGTTTAATTCAGTGACGAGGAACACAAAGTATTCAGAGCTTCAAGAATGAAAATTACTAATATTGACTACTGTGGTCCTTGTTGTTTTTAAATGCCATCGAGTTGGTTCCCACCCATAGGGACTCTGTATAGTGTTTCTGAGGAGCAGCTGGTGAGCTTGAAGCACCAACTTTGCTGTTCAAACCAACATTGCAGTCAAGTGCATTTACCCACAGTGCCACACCAGGACTCAACTGTGGGCCTTCGATAAGAATTATTTAAGGATCTAAAGCAAGGGGTTTCTAAATTCCTGGTCTAGGTTTTATTACAGGAGAACTGTGGTTTGCATGCATGAAATAAAATATTTATGCTTTCAAAGGAAACCAATTGCATGTTGAACTACATTTATAAAAATATTTCTAAAGCAAATGTGTGTGTAGTAAGGTATGTGATCCTTAACACAGTCAGCAATAAGGTCAAGAGAAAGGACTATAATTACCCTCATTAGTTGAAAAGAAAGTAGCAGGAACATAATTGTTTATTAAAGATATTTGTCACAACTTAATATAATATGAATATATATCGTATGTCACAGAGTCCTGCTGTGGCACTGTGGGTTAATATGCTAGACTGCAAGGTCGGTTTGAACCACAAGGTCAGTGGTTCAAGCTCACCAGCTGCTCCTTGGAAACCCTATACAGGTTTGCTGCGGGTTGGAACTGACTAGATGGCACTTAATAACAACATATATATGTCACAGGCCCTGAGAATGTTGTTGTGACTTATTTCCTATGTTTATAATGAATTTCATCTGGCATTTATTAAAAATAAAAATTTAGTTATTTTTTCCATCCATGATGTATTCTCTAAATTCTAACCAAAGCACCTTGAGGAACATGGGAGAGAAGAATCTTTAGTTTAGAAATAATCTTTGGTTTAGAAGCCCTTGTGGGCAACGATCTATTTACAAATCCTCCCAAGTGGTCGAATTTAGAGTATAATCGATTATTTTGTTTCCTTATTTTGTATATTATCATGTAGGTAAATATGAAGTAAAATATATTATTGTGATTCTCTCATCTCTCTGCTCCCGTATAGGTTTCTTTCTTTTCTCCAAGAAACTTCCCCAAGCCTCCAATTGTCTACAGAAGCACCTTTACTTTAACCTATCTACCATCAAAGAAAAGGAGCAGTTGACAATGGTCCAGCTGAACCTAGACTTGGGGCCCAACACTTACTACAGCCTGGGCCCAGAATTGGAATTGGCTCTGTCTCTGGTTCAGGAGGCTCATGTTGGGGACGTGGCCCTCCCTACAACAGGTAAAATGTTTGCATTGCAATCTGTGCCATGGCCCCAAGGTGCCCTTCAATTCGACCTGCTGCATGTGGTTAAGGAATGGAATAACAACTCCCAGAAGAACTTGAGTTTGTTCTTGGAAATCCTAGTCAAAGGGCACAGAGACATGGAGGGAGACTTCCAGCTTGAGGACACCTGTGCCCGACTGAGACGTCTCCTTCATGTTTCCCTACTGGTGGTGACCCTCAACACTGAACAGTGCCATTCATCCTCCCGAAAAAGGAGGTCAGCCATCCCTGATCCGAAGGCTCCTTGCAAGAACCTCTGCCATCGACACCAGCTGTTCATCAACTTCCGGGACTTGGGTTGGCATAAATGGATCATTGCCCCCAAGGGCTTCATGGCAAACTACTGTCATGGAGCATGTCCTTTCTCATTGACCACCTCTCTCAATAGCTCCAATTATGCTTTCATACAAGCTTTGATGAGTGTAACTGACCCTGAGGTCCCTCAAGCTGTCTGTATCCCCACTAAGCTGTCCCCCATTTCCATGCTCTATCATGACAATGATAAAAATGTCATTCTACGACATCATGAGGACATGGTAGTTGATGAGTGTGGGTGTGGGTAGACTACCAGAAATGGGACTAGAAGGAGTGTTTCTAGAGTAGATATTTTAATAAAACTATTTGTGTCTGAACATCTATTTATGTTTACCATTTGTCTTGGAAAATCTAGGGTTGAGAACAGAGAATATTACTATGAATGATTTCCATAATTAAACACACACACATCATGGATCCCTAGCTGCCCTAGAATAGATTATCATAAAATTGTACTTTCCCAAATTAGTTAAGCCTAATTCTTGGTTCTTTTTTTTTTTTTTTTTAAGGTTTTATTATGAATTAATGTGATAGTTTACATGGGAGAATATTAGTTTTTACATTCATCCCATCCTATATCATTTCATTGCCATGGTTACAATCCCCTCCATGCATCATCAACCGACCAAAGGGCATACCCTGCTTCACTCTCCACTCTAGTCTTCTGTGGCTATGTCACTGACTCTGGGCCCATGAGTACCCAGGTCTTGCCACACTACTGGCCAACCAGGTCTTCACCCGGGTTCACAGAAGTCTATTGAACATTGTAGGGCTTAGCTTGCAGCTTCACTGCTGTTTTTCCCTCACTTCCCCTTATCTGTGACGAACATGGACCAATCAGAGCGTGTATTTCCATTGAGTCTTAGTCTTAGAAGGGTGTTTGCTCTGAGGGGACCCGGCCCCTTGCCTTGATGTCTCCTGGGCTAGCAACTTGCTTGTTCTTGTAGCAATCAGTTGGTCTGCCTATATTGTTTTGTATTTTTCCTGGTGGTGTTTCTTTCAAGAAGTATCTTCTGTTCTTCTAGTTCTCCAGGCTGGTCTGCCCGTCCTTTCAAGTAGAAATTTCCCACCTCTGAAGATTCTGAATGCTGTTCAGAATTCCACCTATAGTCTTATGTAATGCAGAGGCTCTGCAGGAAGGAAGCTTCCTTCACTGGGCATGTTCTAGCCCCATTTTAGGTATTCCAATCAGTCATAGGCAGAAAACGGACTTACAAGCTTTCTATGGTGATATATATATATATATATATATATTTTTTTTTTTTTTTTTTTTTTTTTTTTTTTAATGCTTTATTGTGAATTATGTGATAGTTCACATGGGAGGACATCAGCTTCACATTGATCCCGTCGCACATTGTTTGCTTGCCATGGTCACACTCCCGTCCATTTATCTTTGACCAACCAAAGGGCATACCCTGCAAGCCTGCCCCCATCATCCATCCACTGTCTCTCTCCCTCTCCAGGTCCAAAGTCTCCAGCCGCTCTAACTCCCCATGTCATCGTCTCTGTCTCCATCCCTGGCATCACTGCTTCTCTGGGTAGGATTCTGTTCTCTGCTCTTCTTCAGTGGTCCCAGGGACCTCCTTCCTAGACTGTAAGATTAATTACTCCCCTCCCTTTGCTGCAAAATACCCACCTTTACATTTCCAGCCCTTACAATCATTCTTGATAACAATTATTTGCTATTGTATCGCAAGGGACCTATCTGCATCTCCTTTTATCAGCTCTGAATAGACAGAATGGATACCACTCAGTGGAGATTCCACTTTGCTCCACGCCCTCTGAATCTAGGTTCCCTCTTGAAAGCTTTTAAGCCAGTCACTTCTTGCTTCCCCCTTCTGGGTAGCCAACATCCAAGTTGCCCATCCCTGTCCTCTCTGTGTACAGTGGAGGTGGGAATGATCCTCACTGTGAAGATTTGTTCACTCTTTTGAACTATTGCTTCCATAGGTATGTGCCGAGTTCATCAAATTGTGTCAGATTCTTTTCTCCCCCTCTTCTTCTGTTTGCGCTCGTATCATCCAGCCATTGTAGCCAGATCAAGTGGGTATTATCTGCAAGTGTGGGTGTACTTATGCATGTGTCCTCTCTTCTTATCAGCTGGATGCTTCACTCTTCACTCTAGTCCTCTGTGGCCATGTTGCTGACTTTGGGTCCAAAAGTCCCCTGGTCTTGGCATACTGCTGGCCATCTTCTGTGGTGATATTTCTGACTATTCCTTTCTCTCCTCCTCCAGTGTCTATTTTATGCCAGGGGAACCAAGATTCAACAGACAGCCAAGCATCTTAAACATTATTTCCCCCCTTTTGCCCATCCCAACCATGTTTCAATCCCTGTATCCCAGAACCCTGTTGTTCCAAGGTTGTTCATACATCATTCTTTACCTCTGTCCCACTTAGCCCATGCAAGCCTGCCTAATTGTTCTTCCATCTGCTTTTTTCTTCCATTTCCCTCCCCCTTCTTATATATTGTCCCCCTCCACAGTACTCAACTATTCTATGTCTAATCCCTGCCCTGTGTTCCACCTTCCCCTCCCTCCCCTGTCTCCACCCCCCACATCCTAGCAACCAGCAAAAAAATTCCCTCTGCCTTTAGTATGGGTTCTTTTTCTTAGACTTTTACAGTAGTGGTCCTATGCAGTATTTCTACTTTTGTGACTGACTAATTTCACTCAGCCTACTGTCCTCTAGGTTCATCTATGTTATGTGGTGGCTTGCAGCTTCCTTGTTCTTCAAGGTAGCATGGTATTCCATTGTGTGTATGTACCACAGTTTATCCATTCTTCAGTTGATGGGCACTTTAGCTGTCTCCATCTTTTTGCTATTGTAAATAGTGCTGCTGTGAACATTAGTGTGCATATATCTACTCGTGTTATGGCTCGTATTTCTTGTGGATAAATACCAAGTAGAGGAATTGCTTCATCATAAGGTATCTCTATTTCCAACCTGCTGAAGAAGCACCATATTGCTTTCCAGAGAAGTTGGACCATTTTGCAGTCCCACCAGCAATGCAGGAGGGTCCCAGTCTCTCCACATCCCTGCCGGCATTTATTGTCCTCTACTTTTTTGCTCTTTGCTGTTATTGCTGGTGTGAGATGATATCTCATTGTTGTTCTAATTCTTGGTTCTTTTAAAATAAGAAATGGGCCATAAATATCAGGACACCAAGAGTTAGTCAAAGCTTATTTTCTTACCCCTTTATTCTCTATTCTAAACAGTATAAATGTTATGCTTGTAAATGGAATTCTTGGAGCCCAAGCTCATTCAAGAGTGCCCTGATGGCACACATAATTAAACACTCAACTGCTAACCGAGATTGACAGTTCAAACTCACCCAGCAGCTCAGTGTAAGAAAGACCTGGCAGTCTGTTTCTATAAAAGTTATAGCCTCCACCCCCACCCCCCCAAAAAAAAAAACCTCTGTGAGGCAGTTGTACTCTGTCACATGGGTCAGTGTGAGTAGAAATGGACTCACCAGCACCTAACAACAACAGAGTCATTAAAATGCTGGTGTTTCAGATCAATTTTGATTGAAAACAGACATATGCCTCAATGGGAGAAAGGCAAGTTCTATTCCTTATCACATTTTTTACAGTAGAAACAATTGGCGGCAATGATTAAATAAAATACATTCCACAATTTCAAGTGGGTTTAATGGGAAGATAAATTCTTATCTCTTCTTCCCTGCTGCCCCCACTCCTCACCCTATGCCTCCCCCTCTTTGTTTATTTGTTTAACAACAAGTAAACACGTTGAAGCAATGATTTTTGGACAAAGATTTTATAACGAGATTTTATAATCATTTTCAATGTTGCGTTAATGTGACATTTATCTTTCTGAAAAAGGTGTACACATCTTAGGCTACTTGAGATTTATTGCTTTAAATGCAAATTATTTTCATCATTCCAAAAAAAGTCATTAGGCAATGAGTGCTATGTGGGCTGAGTTTCTAAAGAGGATATTGTTCTAAGTCTTCAGAAAAAAATAATCAAATAAAGAGAGACTATGATAAGTACAAGGGGCTCTGGTAGCGTAGTGGTTACGAATCGGGTTGCAAACCCCAAAGTCAGCAGTTCGAAACTACCAGCTGTTCCACAGGAGAAAGATGAGGCTTTCTGTTCCCATAAAGATTTATGCCTCGGAAACCCTGTACAGGGTCACTGTGAGTCGGAACTGACTCACAGCATATAACAACAACAGCGATAAGCACAGGAGTTCTGGTGTGGCGCTGTGGGTTAATGCGCTGAACTGCAAAGTTGGTTTGAACCTCAAGATCAGCAATTGAAGCTGACCAGCCACTCCTTGGAAACTCGATACAGGGTCCCTATGGGTGGGAACTGACTCAATGACACTTAACAACAACATAACTACTACAGTGCAAATGGAAACTGAAAGCAGGCAATGAATCCACTTAAGAAGGAAAGGCTGCTTTTGATAAGAGCATTTAAAGATAGTAGGAATTTGATAGATGAAGGTTAGGAAATTTTAGTCTAGAGAAAAGGCAGAACCAAGGCAGGAAATAGGTGGAAGGAACAGAAGAGTTGGTAGATTTGGCTAGGCTCATTGCACTGCTTTTCTTCTTAAAAAAATATTTTATTGTATTTTAGGTTGTAGGTTTTACACAGCAAGTTAGGTTCCCACTGAATAATTTATTTTTTATAAGTTGTTCCATGACATTGGCTACAATTTTCACAATGTGTCCACAGTTTTATTTCTGTTTCGTTTGTTCCGTTTCTTTTGAGATAGCTTCCCTGCTATCTCACCCTCCGTGTCTCATCTTTGTATTTGGGTGAATTTTGACTTTTTGGTCTCATAGTTGATTGTTTAAGGGAACACATATTATATCAAATCCATTAAAACAGACAGTTTCTTACATTTGTGGCTGATCAAGGACCCTATTGTTATTAGTTGCTTTCAGATAGATTCTGACTCATGAAGACCACATGTGCATCGGAACTGCTCCAAATGGTTCTCAAAACTAACCTTTCTAGAAGCAAACCAGCAGGCCTGTCTCCAGACATGCTTCTGGATGGGTTTGAATCATTGACCTTTCAGCTAGTAGTCCAGCTCTATGCCATCCAGGAACTCCTTTGCCATATAAGGTAACCTAGTTACAGGCCCTCGAGGTTAGATGTGGACATCTTTGGGGAAATATGCTGCCTACCAGTACTTGCCTAACTTGGAAACCATCAGCCAATGTACAAGCAAGTATTCCATTTTGTGGATATTCCAACTTGACATTCATAAATCAGGAAACTCTTGTACTTAGTATTTATAGAGATGAGTTTCAAGTCCAGGGCCTCTAGTTTGAGAACTTAGAGGAAGACTTGTCTTGAGAAAGGATATGGAGACTTAAAGGAATTTGTGGCTCAAATTTGACTGAGGATGCTGGGAACAGAGGGTAATGGCAGTGGCATTCACTCGCTTATGGAAATTAAAAAAGCAAGAAGGCAGAGACAAGAGCTGTACACTAATGATCTGACTCAGAGGCCAAGGTCCTTCTGATTTTACAGTGGCTAGCACTGCCCCTCCCCTTCCTAATAGTGACTTGGGGCAAAGAGCAAAATAAGAGGAAGCTGGAAATAAGAGACTAAATAGCTGAAGGACAGGCTATACTGTCCTGAAGATTTTTAGTTTACAGAAGTAGGTCAATCCTTTCATTTCGGTTCTTTAATAAAGAAGGATGGGTCAGTCTTGTCTTAATAAGTTCAGATGTCATCAGAGAACAATTTTGGAATTCAGGATACCTACTAGAATCGGGCTGTGAACCACAAGGTCAGCAGTTCGAAACTACCAGCTGTTCCGCCACAGAAGATGAGGCTTTCCGCTCCCGTAATGATTTACAGCCTCGGAAACCCTGTACAAGGTTACTATAAGTCGGAACCAACTCCATGACACATAACCACCACTACCACTAGTAATCTAGGAGTCCTGGTGTGATGCTGTGGGTTAATGCGTCAGACAGCAAACCTGTTTGAACTGCAAGGTTAGTGGTTCAAGCTCACTAGCTGCTCCTTGGAAACCCTATATAGGGTTACTATGGGTCGAAATCGACTCAACGGCACTTAACAACAACAACTAGTAATCTGTACCTCTGGACTAATATTATTTGTATTCTAGACTTTTTTATCAAGCCAATGAGGCAAATTTCCGGGCTGCCAATTTTCCTCTCATGTGCTACCTGTTTGCATAGAGCAGATACCCATAGCTACCTGAAACTCAGAAATGAGTCATCCTCTGCCCAAGTAGGTGACAACGGGCACACCTGAGGAAACAAAGTTCAGGCATGTTGTTGGCAGGAGCAATCAGCACAATACGTCACTCCAGGGGAAACAGCCCAGAGACAGAGCACTATGACTTCTGAGAAAGGTAAAATGGACTGGGGGCGCTGGCAAATTCCTTATTCATAGCAGTGCAAGAATTGTATGTGTGTGTGTGTCCTTGTGCTTGTGTTGTGGGGCATTTCTCAGCTTTCTTATTGATTATAAAGGATAATATATTAATATTATCCTTTCACAACATTTATTACTATTATTATGAGCGATACATAGCCCTAAATGATTTTTGACACTACATCGGTGCTTGTTTCACCACAAAAATAAAAAAAAGTACAAGGAAAACATGAACTATCAGCTCAAAAAATGAAAAAAAGAGAAAGAAACAGAAGAAAGAGCTAATATTGTCGTTGCTGTATGCCATCAAGTTGGATTCAACTCGGAGTGACTTCATAGGACAGAGCAGAGCTCCCGTGGTTTCCTGTTGTTGTTGTTATGTGCCATGGAGCCGGTTCCGACTCATAGCGACCCTGTACAGGGTTTCCGAGGCTGTAAATCTTTAAGGGAGCAGAAAGCCCCATCTGTCTGGTTTCCTAGGCTGTAATTTTTATGGGAGCAGATCTCCACGTCTTTTCTCCTGGAAAGCCGCAGGTGCATTCGAACTGCAAACCTGCACAGAGCTATGACTTAAATAACTATTGAGACACATTTTACTTTAGCATTCATTGGGCTTGGGAATAGAAGGAAAAACCTAGGAGTAAGTACACCAGTTAGAAGACTATTTTAACAATGTGACATGATATATTAGGAGGTATTACAGATACCAATTTTGGGTTTAAGTAACAATATTACTTTCATCATAATACTATCCCTCTAATAAAAATTCTTTCATGAGTAAAGTGTTGGGGAAAGACCAGTTAGCTGGTGCTTTCCTGGACTTTCCTCTGAAGGTGAAATGTGTCTCACCCCTCAAACTGTCCGGAATCATTTGGCTAATCTTGTTTTGCATTCCATGTAAATACTGAACATATATCTAACTCTCCATTTCTGAAGTTCTCACTGCTGTTTCATCTCCAGTGGAAGTGTTCTTTCCCTGCGCCCCCGATTTAATTGACAATCTCCTCCAGGTGTAATCATTTCGGCAAGACCCCCACCAACTAGTTCAAGGGCTGCATTCCAGATTAAAGTCTGAGAGGTCCCTTGTTCCATGGTGTCAGCCACCTCCTTCCTCCTCCATCTGAATACTCAAATTCTCCTTTTCTTCTTTTAAAGGATCAGATATTTATTCTTCACGATACAATTTGGTATAGTGCTTCCTGATTTTGCCCTCTGTCATGGTATCTAACTAATTTCTGTTTACTCTCTCACCCCAGCTAGAACCCGTTTCCATCTACAGGATACTGTGTCCCTGTAGCAACCTCCCTGTTACCCCTGTACCATCCAGCACATATGCATAAACTACACACACACAGAGAGAATGTCTTGTATAAAGCACTTTTTGTTTAGGAGGAAGTATCTGCCAAACCTCATGACTCTTCTTGATTCAAAAACAGCACCTAAACAGGAGAGTGGTTCATCTTACAGTCCAGAAACAGAGGACTCTAGGACCATTAAGGGAGAAGAGCGCAAGCAGAATATGGGATCTTATCCAGAGAAGCAGCAACACCAGAGATGGAGGCAGAGGTGGGGACATGGAGTGAGGGAACAGTTGAGGACTCTAGATTCAGGGAAACAGAGGGACTGAGAGCTGGTGGACAGGAAGCAGACTTGCAGAATGTGCTCTTTGGTGGTTTAAATTATTACATATGCCTGAGTGTTTAAAAAAAAGAGAGAGAGAGAGAGAGAGCTAAAATGAATAGAGAGAAATACTGTTAATGGATGGTACATGGAGGGGATTATAATCATTGTAATGAAACAAAGCATATGACTTGTTGAGTATAAAACTGATGATCTGCCCTGTAAACAATTCACAATAAAAATTTAAAAAAAAAAAAAAACAAGAAGACAGCACCTAAGAGTTAAAGTGTGATTTGAAAGAGGGATAAATTTCTTATCTGCATTTCCCCACATCCACTTCACCCTAGAGGTAAGAGTGACTTTTGTATCTCTTCTAACCCACTGGAAAATTGTCTTTGTGATCTAGGGCTGCTGTAGCAGAAATACCACAAGAGACTGGCGATAGCAAATTTATTTCCTCACAGTTTGTTTTTGTTGTTAGGTGCCATTGAGTCGGCTCTGACTTACAGCGACCTTATGCACAGCAGAACGAAACAATGTCCAATCCTGGGCCAACCTCACTACCGCTGCCACACTTGAGTCCATCGATGCTGCCACCTGGCCAATCCATCT